TTTATGTTCTAAGAAGAGGAGAAAATAAATCTCAAAACTGTATATAAAAGAAAAAAATTAGAAGGTAATTCATCAAAATATTAGCACTGTATTTGAATGGTTGAATAATTTTTTATCTTTTAAATTTTTCCAGTTATATATTTCTGTATAACAAACAACCTCAAATTTAGTAGTTTAAAATGACAATAACTATTTATGTTTGCTTATTCATCTGAAATTTGGGCAGGGCTCCATAGGGATTGGCTCATCTCTACATCATGTGACAACAGCTGATGTGACTTAGCTGGAACTGAAGGCTCTGCTTTCCAAGATGGCTCAGTAACATGTTGGTTCTGGTTCTTGTTCAGCTATGGGGAGCTCAGTTGGGGTTGTTGGCCAGGGTCCTAGTTTCCTTTCCAGGTGGGCCTCTCCCTGAGGCTGCCTGGGCTCCCTCACAACATGGCAGCCATATTTCAAGAACAAGTGTCCCAAGAGAAAGGAAATGCAAGTCTCCTAAGGCTTGGGCCTGGTAACTCATAAAGCATCACTTCTGCCATGTTCTATTGGTCTAGCTGTCTCAGAGCTGCTCAGATTTAAGAAGAGGGAAGTGTCAAAGAACTTGTGGCCATCTTCAATGTACCATTAAAAGCCAGCGTTTTCCAAATTTTCTTTAATTAGTATTATTACAAGTGGGGGCATGTGAAGTACCTTTGAAATACTTTTATTTAAAAATTCAAAGTCCCATAAGGTAAACTCTCTGATAATTCAGAAAACTACTTACAATAGCAAATTTCTCTACTCTTTGCCTTCGAGCCTCTTCTCCAGTTACATACCTCTAGATACACACACACACACACACACACGAACACAAGATCTCCCAAGACCTTCCCTCTTAAGGTACTTCTCCCCTGGTCTGGTCTTTCTCTTGGTTCTTTGGTTAAAGTGTTGATTAAAAATTAAATTTCCAGTCATGGTGGTTTGTGGTGTACCCCATTCCAGACAGATACTTTTCCAAAGGTGTCAGTTAGCAACTCTTTCCCATTTCCTGACCTCCATACACACAAGAAGACTGATAAACGAAGGAGGCATGTCACCTCTACAGGCCTACTGACCCGCGCTGTTTGCACATTTATAAGCAGGCACCTGGTTGCCCTCCCTTTCTCCCACCCCATCTGACTTGTTGGTTATTAAATACTGGAAGGCTCATAGTTGCCTGAGATAGTCATATTGATTCTTAAAAGCTTTTCTCAGATTGGCTCAAGTCTCATAATATTTGTTCTTAGATCATATAAAAAAATGCTCAACTTGGATGCTGCCTTCATGTGATTGTGAAGTGGAACTCTTTTGTTTTCAATGGGACAGAAGGCTAATAATCTTTCAAAGAATAAATATTAAGGTCTGACTACAAAGCAATATTACTGATCACCTAGGATTAAATGGGGACCAGTGTATTAGAGGTTTTAGTTTAGTTTGTTTTGTCAATTATTTTGTGTGTGTGTGAATGTATGAGAGTTATGTCCCGGTTTTCAAGTCTGAATGGCCCAATTTTAGACAGTTCTCTTGGGAGATCAAAGTGCTACCAGCCACACCCAATATCCCAGAATTGAATTAGATTTATGGATCCTCTCTACAGAAAAATGTACATGAGTATAAGCAAAGTATGCCACCTAAGATTTGAGGGAGTTCACAGACACCCTGCCTAGGTTGAGTCCCCATGCTAGAGATATCTCAGATCTTTGGTAACTCAGGGTCTCATGACCTTCGTGGTACCAAGTCCAGTGGGACAGGAGGTGAGTGCCTGAGGATTTCATAGTGGCTTGGGGCTTATTGTGCCATGCCAGGAACAGCAGAGACAATCCTGCTTCTTCCTCAAGCCATCACAACAGTTACCTGTGAATAAATCCCAACAGAGACGAGGCAGCCTAGATACAGACCAACCTTTGGTACTAATGATTCTCCTTTCCAACTGTGAGGCAGAAGCACTTCTCACATCTCATTATCTTCCCAGTCTTCCTCATCCTCCTGTTTCTTTTCATCCCTCTATCAAAGATTGAATAAGCCTTTTCTTAGCCCCTTCTTCAGGGCTGGGGTCTAGGAATACAACTGTGAATAGAACATGGCTCCTCTCTTTCATTGAACAAATTTATTGACTATTTACTGAACCCAATGCTCTTTAGTTTTTACAATCTACATCCTAGTGGACACACACACACACACACCTGACCCACAAGCCATTTACGTGTATACAATTACAATGTAATGTAAAAGGAGGCTATGGTGGAGAGAGATGTAAGCAACTATGGGAGCAGAGGAGGGAGCAGACCTTGTCTGCCTGGGTAGATCATGGAAGGCTGCTCAGGGAAGGTGAGATTGATTCCCATTTCCGAAAACAAATAGGAATTCTAGGCAGACAAGGGCAGAGGAAGGAGCAACACGCACAAAGATATTCAGATGCCAAAAAACATGGTTCCTTCTGGGTTCAGTGTGGCTGGCCCTCAGAAGTATGTGCCAGATCAGCAGGAGTTAAAGCAAGAAAGACAGGGAGGCCGAATCCTGGATGTCCTTAAGTGCCACACAAATGAATTAGAACCACTGACCAGAGGCTCTGGAAGGCTCTAGGTGAAACAATGAAATGATAGACTTTGGTTTTAGAAGGCTAACTCTGATGGCAGAATGAAAGATGGATTAGATAAGGGCCTAATGAAAAACAGGGAGATTTCTTGGGAGGGAGGCTCCTACGTGGTCCTCCTACTCCACTTTTAGTTGAAAGCTAAAAAGAGAGTCTAAATTCTATCTAACAGGGGTGTTAGGCAAAGAGAAGAAGGACAAATACAAATATGGAAGATTCAGAATATAGCATGGGCAGAAATTGGGAAATAATTAAATGGGGTGGGAGTGGGATAAGGGAGGAGTCATTATAACTTCCAGGTTCCATTTTTGATCAGCTAGAAATCTAGTTGACCAAGGTAGGGAATGCAAGGTTGTATGGGAGAAGATAATGAGCCCTGAGGGATATGCAGAGTGTGAGGGCCTGTGGGACGTCTCCTCTGGTGACAGGACTATAGGTCAAATGAACACCATTTGTCTAGTCCTGGTTCTAAGGTCCTCCCTCACCAAATTCAATATTTAAATCCTTATGTGTATTTTGCAAATATTTTGTGAAAAAAATAACACTTTATTAAACTCTCTAGAGTGAGGTAGATCCTCTTAAACATGAAAAGGCCCACTTGTGTTTTGGGTAGCAATGAGATAATCATCTTTGTGCTACAAATGCCTTTCTCTCCTCTTATATCATAGTGGACTCAGCCAAGACCACTATGATTAAGTTTTTATTCCTCCCCCCAATCCTCCACTGCAACTTTTGGCTATACAAGACAAATACTTCCATATGGTACAATATTTATGTTAAGATGGAGGAAAATGTGAGATGCTTTCAGCAAATTTTATCCAAGAAGCAATAAATTTATAAATCTTAAGCAGCTGGAACTAAATAATGGTTTGTAATTGATTTTGGGTGAAGTGTATTACAATAGGAATAGAAAACTTGGGGCAGTTAATTCCTGATGTTTAGAGATCTTGAGTGTCTTCATACGGCCTTCCTTGGCTATGACCTCAAACAGATTATTTGACACCTTGAACTTCTTTTGCCTCATCTGTAAAATGGGTTTAACAATTTTACCCACCCACGGGGTTTCTGTGAGGATTATGTCAGCTAATGTAAGTAAAGGGCTTGAAGTACTACCTGCCATACAGAAGGCACTCAGCAAATGTTAGTTTGTTCTCTATTACATAGAGGCTAAGTCACAAGGGAAGGAAAAAGGGATGAGGATGGGGGTAGGAGGGAAGAAGGATACAGTGTAAAAAAGCATAGTTTTTTAGGATTTGTCTACAGAAGAATGCCCACTACCACCTCAGAATATGCAGAGACAAGAGAGCTGTGTGAGTGCAAGTGGTTAAAAAAGATTTTTTGGGAAGCAGGAGCGGGTATGTGAAGCCTGTGGAACCAGGAGCTTGCTGACATAGTTTTTGGATCATCCTTCACTTTTATAATTATTGAATTCGCTAGAACAAATGAGAGTAGGGTAGAAGGCAAGTGCTAAAAAACCTGAATTGTCTAGATGGGACTATTTAAAATGCAAAAACTACCCTATGTCTATGTGAAACCAATCCACAGAATTTTATCCTATTGAGTCTGTATTATTTTGGACAAACTGCCAACTTTTGTTTTAGCTTTCTGGTCACAAAAGCACAAGGATTTTTTAGAATGATTTTTAATGTCTTCTACTTAGATAGCCCTTACATTTACAAAGCATTTCTATATTTTTCTAATTTAATTCAGATAAAAAGTAAATATCATTAGCCCTACCTTAAAATAGCAAATCTTTAGTGTATATTTACTGAGTGCCAGGTACTGTACTAAAGGCTCTGGTGAGGTGTGTCCCATTTAATCCTTCTGATCAACCTACAAAGTAGGTACCATCGTCATCTGAGTCTAGAAGACAGAAGTTTAATAACTCTCCCAAGGTGACTCAGAAGTAAAGAGCAAAGCCAGGACTTGAATCCACATTGGTCTGGCTTCAAAGCTCATTCTCCTAACTCCTGACCACGAATTCTGCTGTTGAAGGATAATCAGATACGTGTTCTTTCCTAGTATGGCAATGCTTTTGGTTTGAACTCAGTCTAATTATTTACAGCCATGTAAACAACTGTTGTGAAACTATACAGAATATTAAACTTTTTGATCTCTATTTCTATATTATGTTCCTAGAAATGCTCAAGACAGATGTATATCTCCATATACATTTTCCCCTTTAAGGTTATGAGAATCTGTACAAGACAAATAATTATTAAATACATTCAAGTTTCCAAATACCTAAAGCACTTGGTAATAGGCTAAAAATCTGTTTCTTATTTATTTGTAATACAGTTTAATAGTTGTAGGTAAGAAAATGTAAGCACAATTTTAGTGAAGGGTAGCTACCAATCTTTTGAATGGTTCAATAATGCAACGGACAAATCTGTTCATAAAAACGTATTTTTTATTTCTTAAGCATTAAAAAAAAAAAGTCCTGTTCCATGTCCCTCCCCCTCACGCAAACAGCTCCCAAATGAGATTCTTCAAATTTTACGTTTTTTCCATTCTGGCTCATTCTTTGCTTCTTCATCATCAGATTCAACTTGGGCAAACATGGTTTTGGGCTGAGTCCTACAACAAAAGTTAAATAAGACGAGGAAAAATTTAGTCAGCAAGTGTTTATTATATTAGACTGTGCTTTTTTCACCAAGTGGGAGCAAATGTGGAGAACCAATTACATCTCAATTATTCAATATAAATCGTTAAACTTCTGGCAAAGAAAAGAACAGTGGAAATTTAATTATGTTCAGGAAAAGAGCCAAAGATTCTTTTAAAGCTTTTCCCTCTGTGGCAGACTGTGTACGCTGTCCTTTCCTTAAATAAAATGAAGACACATCAAATTCAGTGGAACCTCACACATCGTAACCACCCTCCACCTCAAATTCAGGGTAACTGGAACCGTTTGGAAGGACAAATTATCACCAAGCAAGAATCTACGTGATCGTTGTGCATAGCTCTCTGCATTGTTCCCAGACTTAAGCAGTCCACATGCATGTGATTATGGTGCATACAAATAAGAGAATTTGAGTTAGTAGTTTTCCTATCTAATGAATTTGAGCCAGCAAAATTAAAAAACAAAACAAACAAATGAATATCCCTTACACCCCCACACCCAGGTCAAGGCACGCAAAAGCCAAGCATTTTCGGATATGTCATTGCACTGGCTGTAATACGGCCATACAGTGTCATTGCTGAAATATTGCCACGCAGGACATCAAGCAATCTTTGCATGAGGACCTTCTGTGCTTTGTAAACACCCTGGTTCCATGACATTCCTTTTTATACCATTCACACAGGAAATAATTCCAAGAAAATGTAACATGGTTATAAAGTATGCCCTTTTTGGTTGTGCTACTACTGAATTCCTTTTCTTAAAAAATAGCTCTATCATATTATAAAGAAACATTAAAGCATAATATCTGAAGATTATATATTTTGGCTTATATCTTCATTTACAGTTCAATTCATTATGTCAAGGTAAT